ACAGGGATTCCAAAGTTGGTCCCACGGTATGACAAATGTCTCAATTCCGGTGGCGAATCTGTTGAAAAATAGCTGGACACTTGCTGTATCTGTTGCAATAAATATTTCCATGAAATTGTGTTTTGTTTCTGTAAACGGCCCCAGGGAAACTTACTTTGTGGACGAGCCTCGTACAAATGTTCATACAGTGACTTGTTTTTGAGAAAATTTATGTTTGTTTAGTTACATTTCACCAACTTGAACCCAGATTAAAATTAAGGACAACTTGGATACATAAGACACAATCCCCCCTCTTCCTCCTTCCCCCAATATTTATTTTGTGCAAAGAACAAATGTGAGTGCACAGACATGAGGGGTAACTGTTACCTTAGTGATGCACGCCAGGAGTGACAGTGCGGCCTTCCGCACTCTTCCCTGCGTGACTCTGGTTTTGACTGCTTGCCCTCCTTCTGCATCTGAAAAGTCTGAATCACTGGTTTTCAGCAAACAAGGGTAAAGAGAAGTTCCCAAACTACTCTCAGCTGCCACAGAATCACCCACAGTGTATGTGAGATCTTGTCCGAATCCAGCTTCAACATTCTTCCTTGTGGCAGAATCTGACTTCTTCTGATGTTGCAAATTTCGTTTCCTCGCTCGGGAACTCTGAAAATCACGCGTTCTACAAGATGTAGCAGCGGACATAACAGTAAGAAGTATAAAAGTAAATACTTCCTCGTGACCTAATTCATGAAAATTGTTTTGATTTGGGCCATCACACCTTTTGTGTGACCTGTTCACAACATCTGCAATGTGTTCAACATGATAACTGAAGAATAAATCAAGGAGTCATACCTCCATCAAATTTGTGTTTGGAAATTACACATACTCTAAATAAAATCTCAATTTTAAATTTTCTTCCATATTTTAAGACAGTAACTTAAGTTTCTGGTCTAATCTTTGAATTTCTCTCAGTCACCAGAGTAATAGTTCAGAAGAAATTTAAGAGTTATGTTAAACTTTCTGTATGTTCTGTGCCTGTCTCATTAAATGGAAAAATTCTATGATACTAAGAATAGAATTAGAAGTATTGTAAAGAAAAATAAAACTGCCTTTACCCCAAGACCAGTCAGGTGCTGGGTAACAGTTGTGATAAATGAAAACTGTTCAAAACAGAACCTGAGGGGGAAAAAAAAATGACATGCAGAAAGAGTCTGCATGAACATTTGTATTTTTATAGTCATATAATTTTCTTCTTTATTCTGCATCCTTGATTTTTCCACTAGCCTCTGCATCCAGATCGGCTCTGAGGCCCACCCAGGATCCCACCCAATGGGTAACCCCCCCCCCCAAGCGCCTACATGGCATGTGGGACTTTTTTACCTTACTTCTTTACTCTGCATCCTTTATTTCAGAATAAAGGAATTAATTCTGACAGCCAATATACAATAAACAAAATACATTAATTAATCATCTGGAGAGAATAAAAACTGAAATTGTCTAATAATCAGTAAAAGAACAGTATTCATATGTAGCATGAACTTCCAACAGTGATGTTAATTATAAATACAGCAAGACTTTATCTAAGGTGTGTGAAACAGAAATCTGCTTGAAATGGAAACATGTGTACACCCCTTGGCACTCCATTATAAGCACATTTCATTTTATTCAGAAACATAAATATATCACATACCTTACCACCTCTACCACTTTGCCTCATGTCACATAGAGAAAGGTTTGCTGGGAAAACCTGCTGTGGTCGTAAATCAGCGTAACCATGTATCCCATACAGCATGTAGGTCCTGATCACACCCAGTGCTTCTCCTAGAAGCTGCTTCACTAAATGTGCAGACTGTTGTAGAATGCTCTGCAGTCCTCGTAATGACACAGTTAGAACCTGTAGTAACAGTGTCTTATTTTATATAGAAAGTGAGCATGAATACTGCTAAGACAGAATGGATCTTATAATTTCTTTCTTTCTACAAAACTGACTTTAGTAATTACAGAGGAATATTAATCTCATTAATTTTATACATGTTTTTCATTGAATTCTGTACACCCTTGAAATTAGAGGATAAACATTCATCTGACATATTTCCTATTTATAATGGTCTGAAAAAAGAAAACGCTTTATCACCATTGCTTTTCAACTCTGCATTAGAATACGCCATCAGGAATGTCAATGAAACAAATTTGGATTGGAATTGAACGAGAGACATCAGGCCTAGACTCTGCTGACAATGTTATAATTACAAAATCCTCTCACTCACTGACTTGACTTTACTCCAAAGGAAGCAGATAACAACTAATTAAGTTTATGCCTAATGACAAAGTACATAAATGACTTCTGAAAATGAAATGAATCAAAATGCTGTACCTACAGAGCTATGAGATGCCTTTGTAATTTATTATCCCAGCACCAAACGAAAAGGAAGGCCTTGGTTCAGCGCACAGTGCTTTTACAGTGGGCTGTAAAGAAGTATATAGAAACAAAGAGGGTGATAAGTATGTGTGTGACCTCTGTCCCTGAAAACCATTCCTTCTTTCCAGTAATATCAGTTTCAGCAAATTCTTTGTTACAAAACACTTAGAATGTGAAAGTACACGTGCCTTTCACTGACTGCCATTTTATAATACATATTTTGATATGTTCCATATCACCCCTCTTATCTCAAGACGGTCATATGTACTCTTTATGAATCGAATATTGTGCAACACTTACTGAAAACACAGAATATTCAGCTTGAAAGTCATGCAGTCAGATAAACTTGTCATTACTTCTTTTGGTGGCCTTCCTTTTTCGCACCTTCTCTGCCACTGGTTAGTAATATAACAAATTCGCGTAAACTCAGTGCCTTACCATAGATATTAGGAGTCCCTGAAGTTGACCCATATGGGTGCAGAACAGCAGGACAAAGTATAATCAATGTCAGTCATATATGATGGTAATTAATATTCAGGTTCATTAACTGATAAAATGGCTGGAACACAGATCTAATTTCAAAGTCAAAAGAAACACAGACAACTCTTTATTGCTATTTTCTTCAGGGGCCAACTCGATTATCTCCATGAAGGCACGTTTGTGGTGTGCATTTTTTTAAAGACTGTCCTGCCAAATGAGGGACATCACCAATGTGAAACGGTAGAGCGTTGTACACCATGACATTTTGTCCTAATAATGACACAGGAAAAGTGCTGGGATTTCATGAAATGACTGATAAAGGGGGTCAATGTACATGGAAGCCTTTTAGCTTATTTCCATAATTAGTAAGGGAAGATACACATATGTAATCATCATGTCTGTGTGTGTGTCTGTCACTCCCTAATATGTTTTTGAGAACGATACACATTTCATGTAGACGAACATAAAAATCAGCATTCTCTGGATCTGAGACGTCACGAACGCAGACCTATTCCCTTGAATTAAGTTTTATATGCTTTTTGTCAGTGCCTGGAAGATCTAGTACTTTTCTTCAAATAGGCCACTGCTTCATCCTTCGAAATTTGCCTCAACTTGTCCAGAATTAGCATGTAATTTCTCATTCAATGCAATAAATTGCATTCTGTTTTCCTATACTTGTAATTTGTATTGTTGTTTCCTGTAAGTAGAGGACAATGTTTCATGCACATACGACACAACAGACAAAGACACACAACACACCTTACAGTAAAGAAGCTCGTCTTGTTCTAGATGTTTCTCAACATACAACTGTTTCAGAAAAACTTGTGCACAAACTTCAAGATATGGCAGTTGCAGTCCTCCTGCAGGAGGACCCTTGGTGTCTGGAAGGAAAACCAAGGATTCAAAGCATTTGATGGTCATAAGATGCACTTCCCAAGATGATACCAATATTAGTCTGTCTCCTTTTCTGTCTGGTCCTCTTCCATCATCCAGTAAAAATGTCAATGCACCATTTTCTCCGACCAACTCATGCATCTGCTGCAATATATGTGGAATTAACTTAGTGGAGAGGAATTGATTTTATGTCTACCATTCACACTACAAGAAGATGTTCTGAGTGAATACACTTCACCACTTACAAAGTTACTATCTTGTGCTGTGCTTACAGCAGCAGTTCCCTAAGTCTTTTTGTATGAGGCCAAAACAGTTTGAGGTCACCAACCTACAAAAATGGTTTGAAATGTAACTTAGCCATGATAAAAATAATAACTAATTAACCTTAAAAATGACAATAAAGCACTCTTTATATTGAATTGTATGTTTTTATTTCATGTATATGGTAATAGCTTCCACTTTGGGAAATGCTGGCTTACACTACAATCAATTGCCTTCATAAAAGAAGACAACGTACCTCGTGGATGCTGCTTCCATTTCCACGCAGCAGAGTTTCAAGAGCCAGAAGAATATCCAGTATGGCAGCATCTCCACAGCACTTCAGGCACTGTACGCACCATCTGACTGCAGCAGACAGTGGTCTACCTTCCACCTTCACATCTTGCCTCATGATTAAATTTGAAATTAACTGACATGCCTTTGCTACCAAGAAAGTGTCATTTGGAGGCACAACAGAAGAACACTGATTTACGATATGAACAGCTTTCTGAAATTTGAACATTAATTATTGATAATGAATATATCATTAATCTACAATTTAAAATTAATGTAAGCTCGGCTTTACAAATTTAATGCATAATTTCAAGCTAATTACCCGATGCCTCACATTCCTGGTGATGTGATCACTTGCGTTCTTTACAAATAAGACAACTTTAAATGAATTTATTATTCCAAACAACTTACATTAATGACCTTGAAGCATGCTGTTTAATAGTAGTAATACTGCAAAGAAATAAACTATGATGTGACCACAAGGTTAGGCTAATATAATAGAGAGAAAAATTAAAATCCCAAAATATAAAATAAGATCAATAATGAAAATATCAACAACAGAAATTCTCTTGCTTCCAAAGGCCAGGGTGGCTCAGTCCGTATAGTGACAGACTACGGAAGTGGAAAATTTGGGTTCAGTTCCCGACTAGGACATGTATTTTTCCTCTAGCCACTGCATCCATTCCGGGGGGAGGGGGTGATGCTGACCACTCACCCCCCATTTAGTGTTGCAGTTGAAAATGAGTAGGAGCTATACCACTCCCACTCAAGCGCCTACATGACAACCTTACATTATTATTATTATTATTGTTGTTGTGCAGAACAAGCTGTTCGTTTTGGGTTGTGTTTAACGCCACTACGACGGATCGCTGAGTAAAACGATATCTTCGAAACGCAAACTAGAAAAGTGAAGGAAATGCAAGGAACTGTGATGAAAATGCTGTTATATGACTGTATATGCGATTTAATCAGACCAGCGTGAATTAGTGAAAAATCTGCGAGTGTGTTGAAAGGATCAGTGTACCTCAAAGTCTTTTTTCAGTTCGTACAGAAAACTTACTGGTGATGTGGTT